CCACCTCAAATTGGTAATCTTACAAGACTCGAGCACCTTAATCTGTCCAACAACCATCTAACAGGTACATTGCCTTCTTCACTTAGAAATCTCACTCAATTACGGATGCTTGACGTATCTTTCAATTATATAAACTCCATCTCCCCAAAATTTAGGGATTGGAAGAATCTTGTTTCTTTGAACTTGACTTGGAACAACCTCAATGCATCCATTGCTCCAATTATAGGCCTTGCCACCAATCTTTCCCACTTGGAGTTGGCCTCAAATACTTTTAATCGTAGTATCCCTCCAGAAATATGGAACTTGAAGAGTCTTGTAGCCTTAGACATGAGTGATTGCTCCCTCAATGGTCCAATCTCTTCCAACATCAGTCATTTAACCAATCTGGTTTCTTTGTCTCTTGCAAACAATCAAATCAATGGATCCATACCTTCAGAAATATGGAACTTGAAGAGTCTTGTAGCCTTAGACATGAGTTATTGCTCCCTCAATGGTCCAATCTCTTCCAACATCAGTCATTTAACCAATCTGGTTTCTTTGTCTCTTGCATACACTCAAATCAATGGATCCATACCTTCAGAAATATGGAACTTGAAGAGTCTTGTAGCCTTAGACATGAGCGATTGCTCCCTCAATGGTCCAATCTCTTCCAAGATCAGTCATTTAACCAATCTGGTTTCTTTGTCTCTTGCATACAATCAAATCAATGGATCCATACCTTCAGAAATGGGAAATTTAAAGAATTTGGTTTCTTTGGATCTATCTGAAAACTTGTTTGTGGGTCTAATACCATCCCGTCTTGGACAATTAACCAGTTTGACATTTCTAGATCTCAGTTTCAATTCGTTTAGTGGCTCCATCCCCCCAGAATTTGGGAAATTGACGAATCTCACTGATCTCCACATGAGTCACTGCGGGCTTGTTGGTCCGCTACCTCCAACTTTGGGTCACTTGACAAATTTGAAATACTTGTTTCTTTCTGGGAATCAAATCAATGGCTCCATCACTTCGGAACTGACAAACCTTAAGAACTTGATTGGTTTGCATCTTGTGCAAAACAGTTTAGGGGGCACAATCCCATCATCTTTGATTCTCTTGTCTAATTTGAGGACCCTGGACCTAGGAACAAATTCTTTTGAGGGCTCCATCCCACCAAACATAGGAGATCTAAGTAATTTGGAAATTCTGAATCTTGGTGGTAATAAATTAATAGGTCAAATCCCTTCCTCTTTGTCTCGTTTGTCCAATTTGTCAACTTTGTATCTTGATTCAAATAACTTGGATGGTTCTATCCCTCAAAATATAGGAAGTCTATATAATCTATTGGAATTGGATCTTTGTAATAACAAAATAACTGGTCCTATCCCTTCATCTCTGTCTCGTTTGTCCAATCTGTTAAATTTGATTCTTTATTCAAATAACTTGAATGGTTCTATCCCTCAAAATTTAGGATATCTATATAATTTGTGGAGATTGGATCTTAGTAATAACAAAATAACCGGTCGTATCCCTTCATCTTTGTCTCGGTTGTCCAATTTGTGGGAATTTGATCTTAGCAATAACAAAATAACTGGTCATATCCCTTCATCTCTGTCTCATTTGTCCAATTTGCTGAGTTTGTATCTTTATGAAAACAATTTAACAGGTCAAATCCCTCCATCTTTGGGTCTCTTGTCCAATTTGTCAGTTTTGTATCTTGATTCAAATAACTTGGATGGTTCTATCCCTCAAAATTTAGGAAGTCTATATAATTTGTGGGGCTTGAATCTTAGTAAAAATAAAATAACTGGTCGTATCCCTTCATCTCTATCTCATTTGTCTAATTTGCACTATTTGAATCTTGGTACTAACAATTTCACTGGTTCAATTCCTTTCGCCATACTTCATTTACCCAATCTGCAAACATTGTCTCTTAATTCAAATCTCTTAAAAGGTTCAATACCCAAAGAGATTGGGCATTTGAAATCTTTGCAGTATTTAGACCTTTCCCAAAACAAATTGTGTGGAGACCTCCCATATGAATTAGGACATATGAAGAATCTATGTATTTTAGATCTTAGTGCTAACAATTTCACTGGTCCTATTCCTTCCACTCTAGTTCATTTAACCAATTTGACCATCTTGTATCTTGAGTCAAATCATTTGAAAGGGTCAATACCTTCACAACTTGGGTATTTACGAAACTGGAATCTATCTGGCTTGAATCTTAGTTGCAATAATCTCACAGGCCCAATCCCACCAAATTTGGCT